ATTCGACGTACTCGTCTAGTATGGATTTGGTCGTATCTGCCCTCTCTGAACATATTACCCCGAGTTTCTCGCTAAAGCTTTGAATTGTCGGATGGTAACCTTTTCAGATAGGGCAGATATGTTCAGCGAGGAACGGATTGAGATTGTCGTCGCGGACGACAACAAGAATGGTCAGCCTCCCCAGCGCCATTGTCTACGGTAGCGCAGGGGCTGCTACGAAACCGTTCCCGTGTTGTAAAAGAAGGAGAAAATAAAAGACTGCTGCTCATCAGGTTATATTGACTTGGATTTTACTGTTTACATTACATGTGAAAAATTTTGAAGGCGAAAACTTCAAACTCAGAAACCTTCCCACCGACCTGATACAATAAGCTGCTCCATTGCCAATGCTGGTCCCCCCTTGATTGTGGCGCTATTCTTCGACTTTTATTGGTTTCATCTCCAATATTCCATGACGAAGCGTATGCCTTGTCTTACAATAAACAGAAACACTGAATGTGTCGCTTTTCTTACCATTGGACTTTTACTGAACTCATTAGAAAAATTTATGAATGTGGCAGGACGGGATTTTATGAGGGTTTTCGTCCAGAGTATTGTTATTGGCATGTGTAGTGACAAAGAATTATTGTGAAGCGTTTTGCTTAGCGTTATAACACCTCGAAAACAGTATGCATAGACATCAATGCACATTTTTCAACTCCAGGATGCTCCTTTTTAAATTTAATACTTGTTTTCTCGTATTGTTCTCCTGGTCTTGTTCTCATTATTGTTCTTACAGTTTCGGTGAATTGACTGTATTTTTGCTAAACTGAGCACTTAGCTTTACGTTAGTAGAGCGTAAAAAGTCAACACCGTAGTCCGGTGTTTACTCCCCATACGGCTCATATTTCATGCATCACCGAATCTGAAACTGTGGCTAACATACTAGACGTTCTATAAAGAAAACTGTGCTCAAGGGACCTGCATTACTGGAGTAGTAGCAAAATAAGCCCACTTAAAGACAGTTCCCGCGATCAAGTGACCCGGAAATGCCTCCATGCATTTGGCATTCGGGGTCTTCGGGTCCGCACTCGAAGACTGTACCACTTTCGTCACTTGAAGCGGGATATAAAGAGGTCTCAGATGCTCCTCTATACTTTTCACTCTGCAAGACTTACTCTCAGAATTACGTGTGCGCATTGTGTTGCCTCTAGCGTCGTAGGACGATTTCACAAACTACATGGCGAGAATCTTACCTGTTGATTCTTTTGCGAGCTCACAAGTTGTTCTTCTTTCGCTGTATACATTTTTGAAAACAATATGTTCGTAGCAGTATCCTACGGGAGGAAAAATGCATTCGGGCGCTGCTTAAATGATCGATTTGGTGCAGAAGCTCGTCCCGCAGGGTTTACGCAGAGTTTTCGAAACAGGGTACAGCAACATTGCGTGAAAGGCATGGGGAGGGGTCGTACTTGGCCGCGTGGGAGAGGGGGGTCGTATGTGCTTTGAGAGAGAATTGCCGCGTTGGGAAAAAATTATTCCCGGTTGTTAACTTTTCGCGGTTTCACATTGGCGTAGCAAATTTCTGGGAGATTTCGGAGAGAACTGGTAGGAAGATGGGACTTGGAGGAAAGTGGTAGTGGTATGTATTCTCGGGCAACGTGACTTAGATACCCGGGTGGGCGTGGCCACAGGGGCAAGGCTTCGAAATGGACCGGTGTTTCCCAAATTTGTGCTGCAATAGATATTAGACGGGAGCACCGTTTACAAGGTAAACGTTCCTATTGTCTTCAAGGTGGGCTTAATGTTGATTTCATGATCATACGTAAGACCTGATAACCACTTTTTCGCCTCTGCCTAATGTATACCTTTGCAAAAAGCATAAATTCCAATCTAAGTTAATTCTTCCTCTCGGAACTTCTTAGTTCAAGCAGTAGAAACACACAGCTGTTTAATAAGAAGGAAATTATCGTCTCCAAGCTCAGGAAGAAGCGCTGAAGCCTAATTATATCCGTCCACGTCAAGCCCTCGCCCTATTTTGGCCACGCCCACCGGGTATCTAAGTACACGCACCCTTTAGTCATTTTTTCCACCTTGTGAAGATAAGGAGCTGCTAATCTGGGAAAAAGTAGCCAAAACAGTGAAAAGTTGGAAAAAATGACTAAATTAGCCTGAAAAAAGCAAATAGTTCCTGGCACGCGCTGCGGCCCGTTGACGACCGCCCTAATCAACTGCCCGGATGACTTAGCGGTTAGAGTGCTGGGGAGGTGGGGGGTTTCGTCGAGACCTTCCTTCGGGAGGGGGTCGTACTGACCACCACCATTCCACACATCACTATGCTGTACCCTGTTTCCGAAAGCTATTTTTCTTCCATTGTTGTTCAGTGTATCTCGTTTTTCTTTTTTCTTGGCCGCAGGATGTCGATCGTTAGCAAGTGCGGAGAACTCGTACAATGTGGCTGTCTGCCTATCATGGAGGGTCGTTTGAGTTGTTCTCTAAGCATTTCTTGCTTCTCTCTGCTGGAGCCAGTATCGCTGGTGGTTCATAACTACTGCTCGGAATACTTGATCGCGGGAATTGTTTTCAGCTCTTGTCACAGATTCCCAGAAGTCACAGACAGTGAATACTTAGACAGTTCGTATAGGCCTGCGCTACACATTGTGATCGCGTTAACCTTTCTCGACACATTGTCTCATTGATCTGCGTTGATGACTAGAATTGAGTCTTCCTTTAGATCATTTATGGATTGTTGATTCAGATTATTCATGGCGGATTTGGCACAGATTGTTGGTCACCATGGTCAGATATACGAAGGATGTTTCAAAGAGGTAAGCGAGTAGTGTCCCGTGCTTTCTCGATTGGATTTTTGTCAATGCAAAACCTTTTCGTGCCATGACTCTGAGCAGACGGCTGCTGCGGTTATTACTAGGTTGTCCGGAAAGTTCTCAGCGTTTTGTGTTACTATTTTTTGTACATTCATTGCTGATTAAAAACTCATTCTCCCTTGCGTCTCAGTAGTACATCCTGAAGAGAATTTTTTGCGCTATCTGATGGTATAATTGCCGTTTCACCATTGCTTGATAAACCCCCTTTTCCCAAGACTTTTTGAAGCATGTCAAAAGAGCAACTTCGGACGATATTTTTCTTCAACTACAAATTGGGTCAATCCGCAGTCGAGACAGCTCGACAAATTAACCAGGTGTGGGGGCCCAATAGTGTTGGAGAAAGCACCGTGCGACAATGGTTCGACAAATTTCGTTCTGGAGATTTCAGCCTTGAAGATGAACCTCGTAGCGGTCGACCTAAAGCAATACCTGACGAGGATTTGAAGGCGTTTGTGGAGGCTGACCCATCCCAAACAGTTCGAGAGATTGCAGAAAAGCTAGGCGTTGGCAAATCCACTGTTGCGGATGGTCTGAAACGCATTGGGAAGGTGAAAAAACTCGACAAGTGGGTGCCCCACAATTTGAGTGACCGGCAGAAATTGGCACGTCTCGAGGTTTCTTCTTCACTGCTTTTGCATAACAGAAACGACCCGTTTCTAGACCGAATTGTCGCTTGTGTGAAAAGTGGATCATGTATGATAACAGGAGACGTTCCGGACAGTGGTTGGATTTCGACGAACCACCGAGGTATCAAAGCCGAACCCTCACGAAAAAAAGATTCTGGTCACGGCTTGGTGGTCATCGGCTGGTGTGATCCACTATAACTTTTTATCACCAGGCCAAACCATCACAGCAGAACCCTACTGTGAAGAAATCGACGAATTGTACCGAAAATTTTGTCAGATGCAGCCAACACTTATCAAAAGAAAGGGTCCGATTCTTTTGCATGACAACGCCCGCCCCACACGTTTTCAAGCAAGCATATCCAATAATTGAAACGATTTGGGGTCGGAGTTCTACCTCACCCGCCATCTTCTCCAGACCTTTCACCAACCGACTATCACCTTTTCAAACATTTTCAGAACTTCCTTGCTGGAAAATACTTCATCAATCAGGACCAGGCAAAAAAGCCTTCGTGGATTCTCGACCACCCAGTTTTTTTTGATGGGATTTATCGACTGGTGTCACATTGGCAAAAGTGTGCTGATTCGAACGGTGCTTATTTCGATTAAATCCGATGAGTATTAAGAAAGTTATGATCGTTTAAAGTGAAACACTCAAAACGCTGAGAACTTTCCGGACAACAATAATTTTGCCAGACGCGAAAGCACGCCCAGTGTTTTCACTTGAGAATGGCAGCGAAGGAGCTGAGCAACCCTAGGATCAGTAGCAGGAGCACAGAACGTTTCGTTTGAGAATTTGTTCCCTTCAAGTGCTATGAGTGCGTTTATACTTTGCGTCGGTGTTTTGAGCGTCCGCCTACGTACTGAGCATTTTGGGCGTCCACCAGCATTTCAGTGATTAAGATAACGTAGAAATTGATCCAGGGTACTTTTATTATTGAACGTCTGGCGGCGTTTCGAGCGATTGGTTGTTCAGAACGCTGCCAAACTCTCAAAAGCCGGGGGACGCTCAAAATGGGAAATCGTTACCTTTCGCTATAGGAAATGCTCATAACGCTGAAAGGCGCTCCAAACGCTGTAGTAACGCACTCTAAGAGCTTTTCGTGTCAACACAAAGCGCCGATTATATAGCAGTACTAACCCAGTCAGCTTTAACATCCAACATCACCTAGGGGTGTTACATCAGACAGTGCCCAGTTCTTCATTCCTTCTTTTCTTTTGTACTCAGTGGTAGTAGAGTTCAAACAGTTTTGTTCTTTGTGGATGCTGGAGTGTAGGGAGCCGCGAGGGTGAGCGGCCAGTCCCTTTTCCTACAATTGTGCTCGCTTGACAGGTTCCACAATTGGCGAAGAAGGTCAGAGCACCTCTCCAAACCCATCCCCCACCCCTGGCGCGCCCACTTCCGCTGCAAGACTTTAAATGTATTCACGTAATAAATAAATGAGGTTTGTATTTCAGGCAAATCCTTCGAATAGCCCTACGGTTCCAGCTGGCGAAGCGGCTGCATTCTTGAAACGTTCTAGTCTAAATATGCAGCAGTTGGGCCAAGTAAGACAAATTTAGTGATCATCTACTGTTACTTTCGCTTCTGTGCTGAAGTAAGACTCATGACAGATCTGGGAGTTGGCAGATTATCAAAAGAAAGGTGCTCTGGACAAGAAGGGATTCTTTATTGCGTTCAAGCTCGTTGCTGCTGCTCAGCAAGGTTTGTTTTCAAGCTGGAAGTGTTGTCACCTAATCTCACTTTCTCCCACTCCCAGTTGTTATATTTCAGGATTTCCAATTTCTCCTGCTTCTATTGGCTTACCTAATCTTCTCCCTCCGCATTTCGAAGGAGTTTCCGTTAAGAACACAGTTGGCATGACGCAGTCATTCTCTCATGAAGGATCGTTGCCACCGCCCGTTAATGAGTGGTGTATCAGTGCAGCTGACCAGGTTTGGCTAGTGACACTGATATAGAATTCGTTGCGCTGAATATGGATAGGTAACTAGATGTGTCTGATGACACAATTTGAGTTACCTATCCATATTCATAAGAGGATTTGAGTTTTTTTCTTTTTTTTATTATTGCTTCTCATTTCTTTCTGAAATATCAGGTCAAATATGATTCGATCTTCGATTCGCTATGTCCTATTGACGGAAAGCTTCCCGGAGCAAAAGTTCGTCCGGTTCTACTGAACTCCGGTCTCAACCCAGCCATCCTTGCCAAAATATGGGAATTAGCGGATCAAGACAAGGACGGGCAGTTGGACAGGATCGAAATGGCGGTTGCCATGCATCTTGTCTACAGGTGTGTTTTTCCTTACATTACGGTCAATTCTATTTTATTGCTTCTGTCCGTGTCGCTACTGTCGATGAACTGTTGCAGAGCCTTACAAAATGAACCGGTTCCTGCAGTTCTTCCCAAATCTCTTATTCATCCATCCAAAATGTCACTAACGAGGCGTACCTCAACCGCTTCCGTGGCTTCTATGCATGCTGGGAGTGGACCAGCCAACTTCGGCATGCCTCCGCATTCTCAGTTCATTCCAGGCCAAGCCAGTGAGCAGTTTATCGCAATTTTTTTTCGACCGACCCAATCTATTCCTACAGAAATTGATGACGCTGTTGGGACCAATAGTGCCTGGATAGCCAAAGTTTTTTTTAATTTTCGCGGAGAAGCTTGAAAGCGCAACAAGATGTATCAGTTACAATGTTTTCCCTGTAGTGATTCCAGCACTTAACCTTCGAGGCGTTCAGCTCACCCCTTCACTTTCTGTTTGCGTACTTCATTTGAAAGTGAAAATCTTATAGTGTGTTTATAGTTTGCGGCAGCGTCCACCAGCGTGCAACAGCGGTTCAAACGAACGCCAGCGTCTGCAGGGACTAGGGGTATAGACGATCTGCAAACAGCAGCGTCCACCAGCGTATAGCAGCGTTTTCGCGGGCCTTTTTGAACTTGAGCAGAACTGCTCGCGAAAGCGCTGGTGGGCGTTGGTGGACGCTGGTGTTCGTAGGTCAATACATACACATCTAGTCTCCCGAGACGCTGACGCAGTAGACGCTGGTAGACGCTAGATCGATATCTATACATTTCTTGTCGCTGGCGCTGGCATTCGCTCAAACGCTGGCGTACGCTGGGAGACACTGGTGGGCGCTGCAACAAAGTATGAGCGCAGCCTTGCGGCTCCGTAGTTCTGCCTGCTCTTCAGGTTTATCGTTATCACCCCCTGTATGACAACTAAATCCTTTATTCCATACAACTTTCTAGTCAAAACACTCCATGTGTAATATCTGTGCAACGGTCGAATTTGCAGCTTTTTCTTATTATTCAATGTTCTATCTTCGAGAATCCAGTGAAGCAGTTTCTTAATAATGCCACCGCAAGCAACTTGAATTTTTCCCCTAAAATTCTCGTAGAACTTCAAAAAAAAGCGACCTGATGACTTTTCTTTCCTGACCTTTCTTTTTGATGTTCTTTTTTTGCAGAGATAATTTTAGACTATCGTTCTCGTACTGGGAGTATGACATCTTTGGATGGTGTTGGGCACATTACCAAACCTCCACCTGTGGAGAACAGAAGTGCGTCTGTGCAACCAAATCAAGGTTCAAGAAATGAAAGTGCGGTTGGTGTCGTATTTCTTGTCCTTCGTCATTCAACTAAAACTGCTGTTAGTTGAAAACTAATTTGTTTTTTGTGGCGTTTTCAGCCGGCAACACCGATTCGTGGGATGGGTGGGCCATTATCCATGTCAGTTGGAAGCAGTAGCAATTCATCTCTTGAATGGCCAGTCGATCGACTTGCGTCTGCGGCACAATTTGCTGCTTGCGATACTGATTCCGATGGATTGGTCAACGGAAACGACGTGAAGCATGTGCTTCTCGGATCAGGTATGTTGGTTAGAAAGTCGCGGGAAAAATGCTTCACATGCATTGATAGAGCTTGAAATAGCTCAGCTACCAATCCAGCAGTTCTTTGCTTGCGGAAGTTTGCCCAAAGTAGCTTTGTTATACACATCTTCAGCGCATCACAAACGTTGCCATTTTCATGTTATATCGGTGCAGTTTTGACACTGTGCTCTATCGCAATAGCCCTCGGAAATGTTATCTGTTTCAGGACTACCGCAACAAGAACTTGCTCATATATGGGCGCTTTGTGACATCAATCGCACTGGCAAACTTAACCAAGAACAGTTCGCTCTCATGTATGTTTCCTCTTTAAGTTATACCGGCTTACTAAACTGGGCTCTTGAAATCATCATATGACGACAGGAATCATACGTTTCGTCGGCGTTCTCAACACTTTCAGCATTTCAAGGGTTTTGGGCGGAAATTCAAAGTATAGGTATCGCTATGGCGTTCGAGAGAAACGTCAGCATTTTGAGCGTTCCGAGCACTTTGAGTATTTTGGGCGAAAAGGGAAGTATAGTTATCGGCTCTAGCCTTTCGAGCGTTCCGGGAGCCGATCAACTCTCTTCACTCTAAAGTTTGTGACGAGCCGTGTCCTGAAACACTTGCAACGCTCAGAACTGGCGTTTTTCTCAGAGCGCTAGATCGCAACCTATACATTCCTTTTCTCCCAAAACGCTCGGAGTGTTCAAAACGCTGGCGAAAAGTAAGAACACAGCCTGAGTGACAAGACAAGACGCAAGTTCGGGAGAATTTCAAAATCTTGTCATGTGGGTTGAAGAGGCATGTCCTTGGACAATTCTAGCAACTTTTTGCCTCTGACAAACGAGAGCACAAGTCGCGATTCATCTTCTTAACAAAAAATAAAGACATAGAAGAAAAGCAAGAAACCGTGTGTTAAATAGTACTCCACACCAGGGGTCTGCCATCTACGAAGAAAACGAAAATCTTCCAAGTCTAGAAAAAACTTCGTTTAAATAGCTTTTTTATTAACTGAAACCATTTTGATGTGATTGATTTATGAGGGCTTTATTCACAGCTGTACTCACAATGTTGCGATATTTATTATGCTGTTGTCATATTGTTTTCAGTGTACATCTTGTGAATATGAGAAAACGTGGCGAAGAGTTGCCGACAACATTGCCACAGTTTCTTATACCGCCATCTCTTCGAGTGCTTTCAGTCACAGTGAGTGATTTGATTTGATTAACAGTTGGGGGGAGGACGCATGATCATCCACTGTATATAATTTGCTACTTCTGTCTGCTTGTTTCTGTGGTAATCCGCTCCGGCCTGAACAAATTGGAGAAGTCGCGTCAAAGTCGGGATCACACATGACACATGCCCCATGCGAAGCCCCGCCCACACTGGGCAGGCATGCACTGAAAGTTGGCGGTGCCGCAGAAGAGAAAACTCATAACTCGCTTCCAAAGCAGCCCAGAGATGGGAAAAGGTTTGAATGATGTTAGTTGGTGGTTGGTTGACAGATTGTCTGGGGGACGGAAACCTAGAATGGGCGGGACGCGCTTGAGATGAGCGGCTGTTCAACAAGTTCATGTTTCTCGAGATAGTTTGGAGACCTCCAAAAAGTCGGTGAGGAAGAGAAACATCTATCAAAAGTTGGGCATGCCTGAGATATGTTGAGACCCGTGCACAGTAGGTGGAACTTGCTTTCAAGCATGCTAATACTCACTTCAAAGCACCGTGGATTGGTTGCAGAGCACTCCGAAGAACGCGGTGGAAAGGGAGGTGGGTAAGAGGTCAGCGGTTGAGAAGTAAGCGACACATACGAGTTGTGGGAGGGATCTTTGCCGAGGTGGGCAGGGCCTGCGCCGAGGTGGGTGGATCCAAACGAAGAATCTTTGAAATGATTCCAGAGTACTCCAGACACCGGGAAAATAAGGGCTAAGGTCAGCCAGGGGTCACCTCATACAAGGCTTTCATGGTC